TTGACATGTTGTCCATCATGGTCATGGATAACCACCCATCCTCTCCACCTGCACATTTACCAGCTTTGATAATACTTTAATGCATCAATAATTATAATATATATTATTCTGAAATGGGCCAATTTGCATTATTATTATTTTACTTTTGCTACTTTAAGTATATTTGTATGCCAATACTTTTGTACATTTACTTGAGTTACATTTTGACTGCAGGACTTGTAACTGAGTATTCCTACACTCTAGTCTAATACTTCTACTTTTACTTAAGTACAAGATCTGAGTACTTCTCCCACCTCTGACTGGACCTTTAGTTTATTTTACAGTATTTTTTTTCATGTGCTAAATATAATAATGATATGTCTTTATTGATCAAAGACCATGCTTAAAAATATATTAATTAACTAATTAATTATGAAAGATCAGCTTGAATATTCTCATGTTGATGGCCGCAAAAGTGGGATACATACATGAAGCCAATTTTTATTGTTACTAAAAGAAAATATTTCCAAACTAAATGTGGTGTTTTCTTATGAAATATAATTAAATATAAAATAACCTATATGATGATCATTGTTTTAACTAATTTGTTATGCACTCTTGAGAGATAATTATGGCATGTAGAGCAATATGTATTCATTGACACAGTCCATGCAAATAAACTGTAATGCTTTTACTGGCAATAAATAAATACATTTAATAAATAATCTTCCATATGGACAAATATAGGAAGCATGAATTAATAACTTTTTACTGCCATTTCACTGATTATTATTTGATGTCAAAAACTAAACTTCATAACTTTACATAATAAAGTTTACGTTTCAAAGTAAATACATTATGGATTAATTATATAAATATTAATAACTATTAATATTTTATTTTATATATATTTATATTTATATATATATATATATAAGTATGTTCTTTTATTTATTAGAAGATAACAAATATGTAATAGTCTTATTTAACAAACGGACAATTCTTCAATAATGATTTATCTAACTCTTATTTGTCAGCATTATCAAAATAAGAACAACACTGATCAAATCAAATAATAATCCAGGTTATTGTGTCAAAATAAACCAAAGAATACGTGGCCTTTCCCCCTTTGGACACTTATATGGCAACACACATTTTTATTAAGATTTTATTCATTTCTGAAGAAATTATAATTAGTTTACAACAAAATGAGAAAGAACAACTTTTACAAATGTATTACAGATATGTTTTATATGAACAAAAAACAACATAGGTCCATAGAAATTAAGACAGCAAGTCCAAGTAAAATCACTTGGTTCATTTGTAATCTCTCAAGGCTTTGAGAACACACTTAGCTTTTATTAGCCTGCGTTGAGCAACTTTGGTTTGGTGTGCTAATATCAAACAGTGCAATATACTTAGTAAGCAGAGCTTTACACATGTATCTACATGCTACCTGCCACCAACTGTATCTCAATGGACCTTTCAAAGCATCCCATCAACTTGATGACAGAATACACAGTGACAAAAACAATGAACAAAATGTACAACAAAAACTGATTTTTCTTCTTTTTAAATGGACAGTTTATAGGATCTAGTGGCATCTAGGTTGCAGATGGAAATAGTCTGAATACCGCTCCCCCACCCCTCCTATTACATAACTAGGGGAACTACAGTTACCTGAACAGCCCAGAGTCAGAGTTTGGTTTGTCCTTTCTGAGCTACTATAGGAACATGGTGGTGCAACATAGCTTACTCAATTAAGAGGAATCTTAGCTTCAAGTGATAAACTAATGAAAACATGAAAGCGAATACTATTTCCATTCCCTCCAATAAATCCCCAACAATCCTTCACACTGGACATTAAGGCCAACTATTGCCTAAATTAACAATATTTCATCTGAAAGTGAAGTCCCATATTCCTTCTGATGAATATCCTCCTTGTTTGGCAAATGCAGGCGGGCAATTAAGGCTTTGTAAAAAAATCCTAAGAGATCAATATTATCATCCATAAAACATTAATGAATCTCATTTGGCAGCAACACACAAACATACATAATGTAACACAGGAAATGGCACTCTTCTTTTGTTGTTATTTCCATCACACAAACACACACAAACACCCACCCACCCACACACACACACACACACACACACACACACATANTAAACCAAATATGAACAATTGAGGAAAAACTGATGATTAAAATGTTGTAGTACAAGTAGTAATGTAGTTTGTGCATACATTACTATTGCAACAAATGTGTTCATTTTCTTCATTGTTAGTGGATTTTTTTTGGATGAATGCTCTTGGGCCAATGGAATTTGACCCTTAATGTCTACCCCTGCATGTTTCTGGAGTTACTTGAAAGGCAAAAGAGATTATAGAGAGCAAAGGCATGGAAAAGTGAAATGACTCTACCGAATGTTGTTCTTCAACTGCTTCTGCTCATGTCACAGTGGAGGATCTGGAGCGCAACGATGGATCAGCAGAGAGGCCGTACTTCATGTCCCAGAACCTGCTTAGCATCCTAAAGAAGTCCAATGAAGAGGTCAAACCTGTAGACTAGGTCACGTTAGTGTGTGTGTGTGTGTGTGTGTGTGTGTGTGTGTGTGTGTGTGTGTGTGTGTGTGTGTGTGTGTGTGTGTGTGTGTGTGTGGGGGGGTGTTTGTGTGTGTGTNGGTATCGTTTGAAATGTATCGATTCCGGTTCTTATCAATTCCGGTTCTTAAACGTTTGACCTCTTTCTTTTATAATTTTGGAATCGAAACGGGGAATCGATAAGAACCGGAATTGATAAGAACCGGAATCGATACATTTCAAACGATACCCATCCCTACTCTTCACTTACTTTTCAGCATATAGGTCGGCATTGATATACAGAGCCGTCAAAATACCTTGTTTATATTGGCATCATATTGAAGCCAACTCCATCGATCAAGCCAGTGTGGCTGAAACTTGTGGTTCTGTGCTTCTCAAAGTGTGGTCCGCGGACCACTGGTGGCCCGTGAGCGCCCCCTAGTGGTCCGTGAGTATATTGGTAAAATTTCACATTTGAAATAAATAGAATAGATAAATGAAAGTTTTCCATACTCTCGCGGGAACATCTCCGCAATGGAGCGAGCTTAAGTTTCACTTCCAATTGCATGATATAGTCCAGCGCAACACCTTCATCACACATCTTACCACGTGTTTGTACCATTTTCAGGCGATTTGTAATCTGTTCTAGAAAAACGATGTGATTTTGGATATTTGTGGAGTAGGTGGTCCACGAGTGTTTTTTTATTGGTTAAGTGGTCCTTGGTATGAACAAGTTTGAGAAACAACTGTTTAGATGTTTTGCTTTCTCCTCCTCCCCTCTGTCTGAACGTTGTAGTATCCTATAGCTTAGTTTAATTTTCTCTTGCTGTTGTTGTTGAAGAATAACCTTGTTTTTTCCCAGTGTCTGCTCGAGCCAGCCTGAGTCCTGCCGCTGCCACCAGCGTGAACTAGATCCACCTTCATTTTGTGGATTGTTTTTTAGTTTCTCCTTTTTTCCTTTATTAAACTTTGTTAAAAGACTGCATCCATCTGGTCTCTGCCATTGTAGGTCCTGCACTTTTGACCCAGCCCTAACAGAAACGTTCTCTCCCTCTTCTTCTCATACTCCCTTTCACTCTCCTTTAACTCCTCCTGTGACTTTCTTTTATTTGAAGATTGTTTTTTGCCCGGCGCTTGGCCGGTTACCGCTGGTATTAAAAAACTTTTGGTGAATGGTTAGGTGGCGCTAAAGTCTGTAGTGAAGGAGTGCGCTGCAGCACGGAAAAAAAACAGCTGTTTGCTTTTCATCCAACAACGACAACCGCCAATCATGACATGCTATGTTGTAGCATTAATAAACGAAACAATTTAACAAAATTACTTCAAAAATATCTATACCACAGGACAATTTTTTTTAAAGCAATATTTTTTGTGGCCCGAGCGGGCAAGTGGAGAGTACGTTATGCTGGCCCGGGGTGTCCAAATAGTGCTTCCGGGCCAGCGGGCCATTTATAATGTCGAGCCCCATGTTTAAAAAAGTGGTGGGTACCCTTTTTTCTGACCACAACTAGTGTATTGTAACAAAGGCTTAACATTTGTTAGCAACAACTTGAGACACCTGACAAACCTGGCTTCCCTCTTCAATGTGGCAAAGTCATCTCAACAGCGTGGCTGTCATGTTCATAGAGAGAATGGAAAACTTGGACAAGAATAAACTTTCTCAAAATGGGTCAAAAGTTTCTTACCCAGAGTCCCTAGCATTAATGACGCCTATATCGAGAAACATAATATAAATAGTTATTATCTTAACATTGCACTTTACAAAGTAAGGAGACCAACGAGAGACAGTTAAAAGAGTAATTTAATATCAGTTAAGCAGTGTTTTTGCCCGCTCTATTGGACCCGCCTGTAACCACATGCTATAGTGATGTCATGGGTCAAAGTAATAGAGGATAAACCAGTTATTAAGTAGTTCATAACCTGGGCCCAAATACAATTGAACTTGAAGTATTAATTTCTATTAGAAACAATATTTGTTTTCTCCAGTTTACCTTCTTTCAGTATCTAAAGACCCTACCTTCTTAGAATAAAAAATTGTTATTCTTTGGTTGAATTTATAAGATTCATAACTGGCGATAAGGGGCCACAAGTAGTTTTAAAAAAGTTAAAAAGTTTTTTTTTAAAAACAGTATACTATGCGTCCCATAAAGCGTCTCAATTTGATTGTTAGCAAATATTCACGGCTTTCAAATTTATTTTCTTTATTTCTAAGGTTTATAAAAGCCTCCCCAAAGCATCAAAACCTTTTAGAAACAGTTTTACAGGCTCAGTATACTCTATGGCAAGTCAAGTACCCTTAACTGGTGAAATAGTTGGGGATCCCCTTTAAGACAAATAAAAATGTGTTGCTGACTTTTTGTGTTCATGAAAACTCACCTGCTTCCAAACGACAAACCATTTTCAAGCTCATGATTACCCATAACAGAATGACTGACTGTGATTAAATACAATCACCTTTAATCAAGATTTACATCCGATAAATATGGAATGTCATCAATCAGTAACTTACATCTTACACAAGGCGACAAAAGAGAAACAAAGTGTACAAAAGCATCCAGAGAGTTGTGATGCTAGTTGCGAGCATTCAGAAGGCCATGTCAACACCATGCAGCAGAGAGACAGAGGGGAGAGGGACAGAGCAATGCAGGTTGGGTTAGTAAACATTTTTTTTTTGGGGGGGGGGTCCAAAGAGAGGCTGCGTCATGGCGACACTAACAGCACTTACATCAGTCAAAAATACCAAGGCAAGTGGGTGGCAATACAATACATCGGATCCCATCTTGTATCTCTACAAGACTGAAGCTGAAACAAATCGTAATAGAAGAACACTACTTTATATATACACGTTTCATAGGAAAAAAAAAAGATCCAATATTCATACAGTCTATCAAATATGTCTGTAACATTTTGGCTGGTCAGCTGGTATTATTGTAAACAGTGAAAGAGATTCACCATCGATTGACATGAGTGTGTTCCGGCTGTAAACACGGTACGTAGTGGTTCTGCAGTGCATCGTTTAACAGGATTAAGACAACAAATATCAGTGACAGCAATCAGGCACAGGTTCAGCACTCACAACGTTCTACAGATCTTCACAATATATAAAAACCAACACTGTTCTAAAACCAACACGAGAGAGCGTTTTTTGTTCAAGCTACAGAGATGCAACTGGGCTTTTGACCTTCTTTGGCCTCCTCCAAGCTGTCACATCGGAAATATTTAGCTTTTGTTGTATGCCGCACATTTAACATGCCCACATCACATCACGTTGTAGATACAGTACTTTTTGAGGTTAACCAAGCCTTACTTATTTGCCCTTGCATTACTGTTTACTCCTGTGGTGCAGAAGGAGGACTATCTTCCAAAGATTCCTCTTTTTTATCAGCGGTCTCTTCTTTCTCAGCCTCCGCAGCGGGAGGTGGCGCCTCCTCGGTTTTTTCTTCCTGCTTTGCCACCTCTGCTTCTTCTTTCTTTTCAGCCTCCTCAACCTGACTGACTTTTTCTTCTTCTTTGTTCTCCTGTTGTGGCTCTTCGGTATCAGTCGTGGCCTGCAGAGGCTGCTCCTCCTCATTTTCCTGCTTGAGCACCGTCTGCTGTTTCAGTTGGATTTCTCCGTCTTGTTGTTGAAGAGGGGTCTCCTCCTCCAGTTTCACCTCATCCATTGGCTTTGCAGGATCAGCAGAATCCCCCTGCTCGACCCCATCGTGGTCTTCCTCCACCCTCTTGGCTTTGGAGAGGATCTCGTGCAGCTCGGGCGACATGAAGTAAGGCCTGTCTGACGAGCCGTCGTTTCTCTCCAGGTCCTCACCTTTTTCCGTTTATAGGGATGTGTATTTCGTGTTTTTTTTATTGGGTTAATGGAAAATTAAAGGGAAAGGGAAAAATGAAATAAAAGGGAGTGTATAAAAATAAAGTGAAACGAATGGGAGGAATGAGACAAAGAGAATAAGAGTCAGAAACATGGCAGGAAGGAGAAACAAGCATTTTAGCTCGAGGAAGTTGTATTAGTGCTTGGAATAAGGAAGAAAAGAGGAGATCTGACTGAATGCAAATGTACTCACAGAAGCAGAGGAACAGTGTGTCCACACACATGGCGTACACGCTGAAGAAGCCATGGGCGATGAGGTAGGATCCCACTACCAACGTCTAGGGGAAGGAAATCACAAATATCAATACAAAATCACGACTTCTGCTGTGGCATTCATTCTCCCAGGCTACCTCAAAAGATTATTATACTGAGTTTAAGAACATTTTGAATATTTTCTCTTGCCTGCCATACATTATAATTTTGTGAAAAATCTTGTTCGGTCCAAGACACTGTCAAAACACCAATGTTACTCAGTTCACATTATTTAGAAAAAGGAAAAGGGTCAAATACTCTCATTGGAGAAGCTGTAACCAGCATACATTTGGCTTAAAAGCACACTCAAATCACTTTGATTTCTTCCTTAACATAGTGACATCACTATGTAACACTCGCGCTTCTATTGCCTAGCACACATTGTAGGTGATGGGGTACGGGGCTGGACATTTCTGGTTGACCAATCACAACAGAGCCGGTCAGCTAACCAATCAGAGCAGACTGGGCTCTGGTTTCAGACAGAGGGTGAAAAGAGGTGCTGCAGCACAGGCAGTATGAGAAAAATAAAGAGCTTTTTGAACATAAAAACATGGAGACATGTCAAAGTAGATACACATAATATTAATACTAATTTAAATTGCATCTGATTTGATATTAAAAAGGTCTCAAATGGACCCTTAGCAGCTATTTGTAGATGTACATGATATATCTGTGTTTCTGCAATGAGGTATCTCTGCATCTATAGTGTGTATCTGTTTCTTTGAAAGAGAAATCCTGCATATGTAACTCTCTCTCACCATTATTGGCACCCAGTAGTAGTTGAGAGATGGAGCAGCCTCCTCTACAGCTTTGATTCTCCCGGAGAAGAAGAAGAAAGAGAAGATGCCTGCACAGAGAAACAAAAGTAAATTAATGGGTTTCAACAAGAGATCCTAACAGATCTCTCTCCAGGGTACACACTTTAGTTCTAAAAATAAAAAGCTCTCCTACCAACGATTCCAACGATGAGGAGCTTCCCAAGGAACAGCAGGAAGTCAGTCACTTTATCTAAAACAGCCACCCTGTGAAGAAACAGATCAGCAGAGAATATAAGAGAATATCCCATGAAACAACGATAAGTAAAGCTTAAATATGAATTACCGTAATTTTCGGACTATAAGCCGCGCCTTTTTCCCTATTTTTCGACGCTGCGGCTTATATAACGGTGCGGCTAATCTATGGATTTTTACAGCTAACGGCCAACACCTTTAACTCTATGGGCTCTATGGCCGGTCCGCGGACCCCCACCTTTAAGCGGCGGGTTCCAGCAGGAAAAGCTGGAGGCCGGAAAAGAGTGAGACAGGTAGCGCGCAAAAGTAAAAGTGGAACCGAGAATGGTATGCCGCTGCTGCGGCTTATATTCAGGTGCGCCTTATAGTCCGAAAATTACGGTAGTGTAATGCATAATATCATTTAACATTGTGGATATAAATGAAATGAAATCCCACCTGATGATGTTCCTCATAAGCAGGAAAAAGGCATTCTTAGCAGAAGGGCAGAAACTTTTTCCATAGATGGCAATCTAAGAAAGAAAAAAATGTTTTACCATTTTAAACCGGGACCAGATCCAACATCTCTGACACAGCAGTATCTGATAGCGATGACTCACCATGATGTAGGCATTCCTGTTAAGGAACTTGATACATTTCTCCAGACACCAGAAGCAGCACTTCATGCAGCTCAGCAGGAATTTAGCACACTTGTTCTGAGCACCTGAGGGATATGATAAAACATGTTACATTTCATTCTATACATTTAAATTGATTAAATGCATTATTCCGACCTTTACACATGCATCAATCCAAAACCAGAACCCAACCACTCTAACAACATAATCATAAATGCATATTAATACAGTCACTGATAAGTACAACATAAAGAAGACACACAATCAACACAGTAGGGGGTCCCGCAGTATGGGGTCTCTTGAATACCATAAAATGGTTGACAAATCAAGGTTTGTTTTTTTGTCATTGATCACACTCCGTCTAAGCTTTAAGTATCCATAGAGAGAAAGCAAAATAACACAGTTCATCGCTGAGATACATGTGACTATAGCTTAGCTGTTGTTTCAGAACAATGGACAACACTGTTTGTTGTGTGTGCATTGTGTGTGCGTGTGTGTAGGTGTGGTGCTGTCCGTAGTACTGAAACGGAGCGTAGGAGAAGGAACACGCTTTCTCTTTTTAGTCTGCTTGATTTCTGTGGATGTAAATAGAAATCCCCACCCCCCCTATTTGAGCAATCTTTAGACAGAATGGAAACTACAGGGGAGCGAAGGCACAGAGGGAGAAAGAGAGAAAGAGAGAGCAATGCATCACGATTTATGGGGAGAAATCCGACATTCAACACCCTCTTATAGAAAAAGGGAAAGATCCTTTAAGTTGTGAAGATGTGAAGATTCTACTGTGAGATTGGAGGTGGAATTAGGCTCCTTACGGGCAGGCTACATTCAACACGGAACACACGTGAACCATTAGCTGAGTGGCTGCCTTCTGCAACACAATGTCTCCTCTATAATCATTGAACATGGCTGCACCAGGCATGAAAGCAGCGTGAGAGTGGTTAGTGCTGTTTACATTTTAAAAAGGCAGTCTTATATATTTCTTGGTGTGAGAGCTTTTTGAAACAGAAAATACAGTCTCTGTTTTTTAATGAATCTACTGATGTATATAATAGTAGGCTAATCGGGTTAACCACTACGACACTAATTAAGTTAGTCAGTGGTTCAATTGTCTGACCCATCAACTTGTGATCCAGGTACTCCAGAAGGACCCTGATGGCCTGAACAAAGGAGAGGATCAGAGAGCCAAAAGCCAGAGAGCCAGTGTGGTATCTGGAGGGGAAGTGGAAACAGAAGCCAAGCATGAGCATAACATCATCACTGATAGTTGTAATGAAACAGAATATTCACAGGTGGACAGATTGCATAACAATACAATATAATTGAGTCTCTAACCGGAGAGCCCGTCCAAGCGAGGCGAAGATGGGGAAGGCGGGAATATCGTCGGGTTTCTTGAAGGCCCAGTAATAGGAGGCGAAGGCCCCTGACAGAGTGACTTGGCCCAGGGCCGTCACGAAGTTGGCGCACCAGAAGAAGAGGAAAACGTTGTAGAACTGGAACAGGATGAGGTATTTGTGGTAGAGGGTCTCTCCACCATAGAAGGCAAACAGACACTCGGCATCAGGACACTGAGATGAAACGTTGGAGATGTTGAACGTCTGGAGAAAAAGGGAAGAAGGAAACCACAGTATTATTCAAGTGAATTTAAAATAAAATATATGATGAAACTGGTAAACAACGAGGTAAGCAAAGGTGTCAAATATAGACAGAGTATTTCTTTTTCTGACAAAACTCCACACACATCTTCAGTCAGTTAATGTCATGAGGCAGTGACATTTGAAAGTGTACCTTGGGGTCGCAGGTGTCTCGTGAGTACTCGCACTCTGAGTTGTTGAATACTTTGTACACCTGATCATTAGAGGTGGACAAAAAGCTGGTCGAGTGGTCAAGGAGATAACAGCATGTCAACAAAGGGAGGATGTCTCTGAAAAGGTCACATCAAAAGACATCTGCAGCCCTTTATATATTTATGGGAAAATGTCACTAACAAGTGATGAAGTAGAAGGTTTCAGAACTTGGAAGATATAGTGATTTCCTACAAACTATGACACAACTTTGAAAAGTAGTAAATGTGTTGGATTGAATGTTTAACTGTTGGATTACTTGGATAATACACATAAAATAGTTGTTTATTTTCCCCTTTTCTTTAGTTATTCCTTAGCATTTATATTAATGCAAAATATATTAAATATATATAGGAATATAGAAAAGTATAGAGTTGGAATGTGTGCAAATAAAGGTGGAAACAAATATTGTGACATGTTTTTGCTTTGACTATGTTTTCTCCATATCTGGACAAAAGAAAGGATACACAGCAGTGATGGCCCAGTAGGCGATCACCACAGAGAGCAGGGCAAAGGTCAGGATGGGGTAGAACAGCGATGACATGACGTGCCCAACAGCTCTGAAAAATAAAACGTTATGTCAACAAGATTAGGTAATACCTTTTTGACCAAGCATTGTCAAGTTTCAGTGTAAAATCAAAGGACCTTTCTGAATGCTAAGGTCTCTCTTCAAATGTTCTTAAGCTAAAGGTATTAGCAAACAGTTGCCTGTACACATCCAGCAGACATGCAGCAACCTAAGCAGTTTTCCTGGATTCGTGTTTCGGGCCATCTGGAGCATTGCAGTACAACATTCAAACTTGTTTTGTCTTTGTTTGGTCTCCAGAAATTGCTAATGGAAACGTTTTGCATCTAAATGCTCCCCAGAGATGTTTGTTGCTGAACAGGAACACTATACACAGTGCTCAAAAACTACTGCAGTGGCAATGATGAAAGCTGATGTGAACTTAAACAGTAAACAATGAGCTGAAAGAAGCTCAAACACCCTTAGAGTGAGCAACTTCTTTCACATTTTACTTAGTAATATAAAGCTCACCTATTATGCTATATTTGAACAATATATTATAGGGCCATATATCTATACAAAACATGTCTCTGAAGTGTTTTGCTCAAAATAACAAACAGATCATGCATTGTAGCATGCCTTATACCCCTCTATTTCAGCCCTGTTACTAAAGTGCTGATTCTGGGTCCGTAGCTTTACATTTAACAGAGCTGCTGCTGGCCACGCCCCTTTGGAGCTGCTGCTGGCCCCGCTCCTTTGGAGCAACCGCATGCAAGCAGTGAGCTCTTTGAAGAGAAGGCTGTATACCAGCAGAAACTCAGCTAAACGCTGCCGTGATTAAACGCCATATTATGTTCCAAACCACATCAAGCATTATTTCTGAAACATTATGGAGCTCTTTGTCTCTCGTGGGTTTACCACAAGGTGAGTACCCTTTATATCCGGCTTCTTTACACAGTCTCTCTCCAGTACAGCGTTAGCTCTGAGTGTTAGCGATGCTTGCTAATGTTTTTGTATTACTTCCAAAACACGTCAGGCATTGTTTATGATGATACAGCAACATTTCTGATAGGGGACGATAGGCTGGAGCGGAACGTTGCCAGGAGTTTAACGTAAAGCCAGCCCACATTTTAGTTATGTCGTCATGACCGCAGCAAAAAGTGAACACGGAGATGCCATTCACGGCCTTGACTGACCTGCTAGCCTCTTTGATGAGGGCGATGGCAATCATAAGTCTCTTCCTGAGGAATATGAGTAGCAGGATGATGAAGAACTCTACAATAGCCAGGATGANCTGACCCTGCTAGCCTCTTGATGAGGGCGATGCAATCATAAGGTCTCTTCCTGAGGAATATGAGTAGGCAGGGATGATGAAGAACTCATACAATAGCCAGGGATGACTCACTGACACAGATTAACAAAAGGCATTTTATTAACAGGATTCATGGATACCTTACACAGCCATGTATTTAAGATGGCAAGTGTGTGTGTGTGTGTGTGTGTGTGTGTGTGTGTGTGTGTGTGTGTGTGTGTGTGTGTGTGTGTGTGTGTGTATCCGTACTGAAGGCCAGCCAGGTCTGTCTGATCTGCAGGTACACAGAGAAGTCCGTCTGCACGCCCAGATCGCGGATAGTGACATTAGAGCCCGGCTCTCCCTTCAGACTCGCAAACTCCATGTAACAGTGGAAAATCCCTAAAAAGAAAGAGTTCAAATCTTCAGATTTCCTTTATCATTGAAGCACTTTATTATCTCAAGAGGCTGAGGACCAGAAGTTGCGCTAGACTTTTTCGCTGCCCATCATTGCATTTTGACGGACAGGATCGTACAATTTCCGTCAATATATATTATCACTTGTCGGTCTGTACGCAACTCTGACGGGGGGGGGGGCACACACTCGCTCGTGAACTGTTAGCGCCGTGCTATGCATGCCCACTGCACCTCGCGGGAGCGCGCACAGCGTAAAGCAAATACTCACAGACATGTCAATGATCTGTCCGGCAAATGTCGGTTTGGAAACGGTATCATATACTTTTGGTTGGGCATGCATAACACGGCATAATACCGAAGCTTTGGCGCTGTTCTGAGTTTGTTCTGATCCGTCCAAATGACGGAAGGCTTTCAGATTTTTCCGTCATTGTTAAAAAACAAACGTCATAGACGGAAAATATTCGGTTAACTCTGCTGAGGACTTACCATATCCGATGACGAGAATAACCAAAACAATCATGACCCAGATCATGATGCCAGCCAAGAATCGCAGCAGGACGATGAAAACCAAGCTGACCAGCATGGCAATCACAAGACCGCTAGAGAGGGAGGACACATTAGAACTTGTAAAATATCAAAAGAGAACAGAGTCTTCTTGGATTTTTTTTAATTGACAGTTGCAGTCAAGTCACATTTTTGGCTTCAAAATGATAAGTTAGCTGTTGATTTTGAATACTGATGCTTTTGTATATCAAGTACAAACATTTTACAGCCATGATCACTGCATCCCTATTTTGAGTAAACTAAATAAATATTGGTGTTTTGTTTGCTTATATTTTGCCTTTGGTTTTACTCCTGATATTCTAGAATCTAGATCTAGATGACACGGTTTGTTACTGTAGAGTTAAACAAAAGTAGACTAACAGCAATATCCAGTGCCAAGACTGAGTGTAGTCCTCAAAGATTCTCATGGCCACCTGGCGAGCTTCAACAACCATATTTGACTTCCTGGAAAACAAAAAAAGTGAAAAGAAAAATAAGGAAATTAAATAAAAACAACCCACATTGTAGACATCTATTAGGAATGGAGGCATAAACATGACAACCTTTAGCCAAAAGGGGCCCTATTTTGCTCATTTTCAGGGAGTGTGTGGGAGAGAAACTCCCTCTGGAGGAAACTTTATGATTTGAGCATTTTCAGACCATTTACATGCACAAAAACCTATATAACACACTACAGGTAAGGAAAACCTTAAAATGCATTATAGGGGAGACCATAACTCAACATGTCAGCAAAAACTTCTGTTAACTATGTGTAATTATTCAACTATTGTGTAAAAATAAATATAAAGCTCAAGCTATTCCTTCAACGTTCAATTATCTGTACGCTGCATATTGTTATTGGATCACGATATAAAGTAGTAAAAGCGAAAGCTGATGCTTTTTATTTCGTAGTAAACCTTTATTTGAAACCTGTTCATTTTTTTTTGCATAGGCAGTTATTCATTTGTTTGCGTCGTCATGCCACATTACAAATGAAGATGAAAACCGCAGTATGACAAATAATTAGACATGTCTTTCTCCAGCTGCTGTCAGCAAGAACACAACATAACAGATGGTGACACACAGCTTGATAATTAGCAAGCGTTATTCACACTGCTTTCTGCTTTGCAACCTCCCCCATTGGGAGAAATGCTGATAGAAAACTCTGGCACAAACCCTCCATGGTGCATACATATCTACGGTCAGCATGCAGAACGGTGTATGCTGCATTTTAAGTAGCCTATCCAATCACAGCAGTGAGATTTGATAGGGATGTGCCGTCAGCTGACAGAGCATAGCAGATTGTGAGTCAGGAGAGTCAAACATTAGCATTTATCTACCTAGCAGCATTTTTTCTTGAGCTAAGAAGGAAGAAGTTTTACTTATTTTTTACTTATTAACCTATAAAGGGTTTCTTATATTATTCAATGAAACTGTCAAAGAAATGTTATGAGCATATAGTCCACATTGAGTTCAGAGAGCACAAATTATATCTTTAAACGGCAAATTTAGACTGAAACAACTACCAACAACCCTGAGGGATGACATTTACAACCATAGAATGCTCAGAATTGTCTTTAAACTAATTAAACCATTAGAAATAATAATAATTTGAACCCTCATTTTATAAAAAATTGCATTTGAGCGACACCGTTCTGATCACACAGCACACATTTTCCAGCATTTGTTAATCATGTCAGGGTTGCGATATTTTGAGGTTATAACATGATTGTCATGTGATGTCATGTTTATCCAACATTTCTGTAATTGTGCAACACCGAGAGACTGATTTATCTACTCAAAGGCTAACACAACTTGTGTGTTGCCATACAGTGAAAAGGACTCACTTTGACGCCTCCAGCACATCCGTGGCGTTGATGTTGGTGCCCTCTCCAGCATCCAAAGAGGTCTCGTTGCCCACCACCACCACCCCGCCTTTCATCGTTCCCAAAGCAGGAAGGCAGCGCCGCGTGACTGTGGGGGGGGAGGAGATTATGACTCGTTTAAGTATATGGATATATTTGTTACAAAATACCAACACACGGCAGCTTGTAGTGTGGGCAGAAATAAGGTTTAGGAGGTGAAGACAACAAGCGTCTCACTTACAGGCTTTACTGGGCATCAGCATGGCCGGACACAAGCCTTCCCTTAGGATCTCAGGAGGACTCTGAAACATGGACAACATCCGTCATTTTAAAGCTCCCCTGTTCTTCTCTTTTTCATCAATATACTATTGTTCTCAGTTACAGACAAAACATGTCTCTGAAGTGTTTGGCTCGAAATATCAAACAGATCACCCATTGTAGCATCCCATAATCCCCTCTGTTTCAGCCCTGTTTGAAAAGTCCTGATTCTCTGTCTGTTACTTTGGATGAAAATAAGGAGCCCCTCCCCACGCCCCTCTAAGAGATATTTGGTTAAAAGGAACACAATGGTGCTCTAGGAGGAGATTTAGGTGATACGGTGTGGGGTGTTACCTTGGTTGGTGATTGGCTAATGGTTACACAAGCCAGCAGAACATTATGACACCATAAAGTGGCCAAAATCTGATCAGCTCATTTTTCAGACAGGTTTTTATGGATCAGGACAAAAAGAGAGAGAATCTTTTTTCTTGAAACTTTCAGAGTCTCTTTACACAGAGGGGACACATTTTGATGTAGAAAATACATGAAAAAGTGTATTTTGCATAATAGGTGAAAGTATTGTACGAAATGTGACTGATCAAATTATTTCAATACTTACCAATTTGCCAAAGTCCACTCCATCCTTACAGTACTTCTTGTAGTATTCATGGTCTTCTTTGTTGCCTACCTTGGCTTTCACCAACGTCATGTGGCGGTCAGGACAGGTTTCCACACATAACTGGACACAAATAGACACAACATACAATTATGACAATTAGCGTGGTTGTTAGAAAGCTGAAACACATTGCATGGAATATAAATGATGATTATCTGACCTGCGTGGTGGGACACTGGAACTCCAGCAGCACCAGAGGGCTGGCACACTTCAGGATGTTAAAGTAAAACAGAAGAGGCTTCTTCCTGTTGTGTAAGAACAGTAAAACCAAACTATTATTAGGCCTGTATTATAAATAAATATCCCGAAAGACACAACATAGTCTGCATGTGAAGGGGCACGTATACTGTAACATCATATTCATATTGTCAGGCGACTCACTCCAGAGGAGTACCAGCTTGTCCACAGAACTGCCCCCGGCTGTCCGTGGGATAGATCACTTTCCTGGGGTCGCCCTGAGACCAGGCTGCACAGAGAATCATTAAAAACATTTAGAACAAAAGAGGACGTTAGAGAAAGAGACAATTATTATCTAAAATCTTAAGTTATACACACTGCACTTGCGTATTACTAGATATGTTAACCCTATGAATGCCAAAAGTAAGGAGAGGGTCTGAAAAACAGGATTATTTTTGCAAAACTTCTTGCTTGTCTTTCACATTATTTTTCAACTTTCTGCCACTCATTGAACGCAACATGTGTAACATCTGAGTTTGTCTTTCCGCAAGTGGGAAGACATGAATGACTCAGCTGTGACTAAGAGTCATTTGACAAAAAGACAGGCTGTTACACAAAGAAGAGTTATACGCATATCTTACATGTCATTTACTTTGATTTAAATTCATCATGAAATACATCTGAATTCATTTTAATTTTTAAATATTTTATAGTATCTAGCCATCACCAGGATGGTTTCTTAGGTTTTTTTTGTATATATAATCAATTGATCAATGATCACCACATATACTAGGTAAACAAATCATGGTTTTAATAGATTTTCAGAATAGAATGTATACACCTCACTGATTAAGGCAAGATAGCCAAACATGATTACTAAATAAACCATGTTCCTAAAGAAATTGAAATAAATAATGTGTGCAATATTAAAAGCAGGTTTCTTTGAAAAATCATGTGTCCCTAACACTAAACACGTTCATCTCCAAGCAATGAAACAGAACATATTGTTATAAAGTATAACTTACCAACAATACCGACAGCAAAGTACCCCAACAAGGCCAAGATGAAGAGAATACAGCAGAGGATATCTGTGCAGCCCCTGAGGAGAGGAGAGGAGGGGAGGGGAGGAGAGGAAAGGAAAGGAGAGGAGAGGAGAGGAGAGGAGAGGAGAGGAGGGGAGGAGAGGAGAGGAGAGGAGAGGAGAGGATTGTTACTTGTGTATTGTAAAACATAAAGTAAATAATGATCAGCTTATGAAAGAGACGTCTCACCTGTTGTGGATCGGTCCTTTGAAGTTTGGGTCAAACTTCCTGGACTCCCCTGTGGACACAAGAGATGGCAGGCTTGTTAGTTTATCATTCTATGACTTCAATTTCAGTCTGATTAAAGTCAAAACACTTGCATGAAGAAGACTAATAATCCAAACGTCTGGTTTCACCTCTGGGACCACAAACCACTTTGAATTGTAACGTCCCAATGTAGATCTAAATCAAAACTAAACCAAAAACTGCTGTTAAAAAATGTTGGGTCATTAATTGAAATAAGTTATAATACAACGGCAATTTCACTTTCAGACAATATTGAAATCCCTTGGCTGTTGACACTGACATCGGGTGTATCAATCCATCATGATATGATTCCACTGAATGGTAATAATAATATTAAATAGTTTTCAAGCCATTGCTAGTAAGTCCTTGTTGGCCAGTATACTCCCTTTACTAAACATGAATATTGTATTAAAGTAAGCATACTTTGACTGAATCTTTATGGCTAAATCATATGAATCTGCAGCTGTAATGTTTAGTCTTATAAATAGCCTTGTGGCTTTCAGTTTTATATTTAGTAAAGCTCTTTGGCTAATTTGTGTACCACTGAGTTTAAAACTGAGCTGTAAATCTGTGCAAAGCATTGTTTACTGACACAGATCACACACACTTACAAACACAATTTCCTCCAATAACCCAATTTGAAATGATTGATAGGTCTACTTAATAGGTATAGCATAGGTATGTAATGTATGGACTTTGTGAACGACAGATACACACAAGTACGAGACATATGTGAAAGCCTGTGTTTTGACAGAGACGGGACATTCTCCCAAACAAAAGGATTCTTCTGCCCGACTGCCATGCCTAGCAACCCACAAAATGTCTCCCCCGGTGATGTTGAGGTCCCCATGGACACCAGCAGCCGCCATGGAAACACCTCAGACACTTCAGGGAGGAGGGGGGAGAAACATAAACCAAGCCTAGTCTGCCTCCAGTGAGGTCACCATGAGCTAACACAGCGTTCAACAATATAAAACCAACGTGCTCGTCGCTCCTTTTCTGAAAAAATATGTTTTACACAGGAAATCAGCCAGGGGAACACAGTGAACACAATGTTTTCAACTGATAACCACATTGTGAGATATAACACATCCTGTCACAGAACTGTACGTGTGTGCTGTAAACTAAAGGATAATTCACATGATGGAGCTAACTGTCATTTCTTCATTAAGCGCGCAAAGTGGGAGTAAGAGGCGAGGGTAGCTACTTGTTGCCACTCCGTAGTGCTTACATACAGCATGTCTGCTACATCACACACACTACTTACACACACACACACACACACTCTGCCCAAACATCACAGAGACGAAACTGGCATTAATACCACTACAAAGGCTTCACAGACCTTAGTCATTTAGGTAAAGTGTGTCTTAAACCATTAAAATGAAGGATCTAAACAAGAGCCATTCGTCAATGCAGCAGTCTGACAAGCATGAAGGATTTTCTAAAAGACATTCAAAGCATATAAACCACCCGTTCATCATCTGGCTGGACGGTCACAGTACCTTTTCCATCGTATTTTCTCATTTTCTCGTTATTTCTGTCTAGATTTCTCGCAGTGTCCTGCTGTTTGGCAGTTCTTTCTTTATGTTGTCTTCCTGTATGAGGGTTTTGTCCTCTAAACTCTAACTTGTCACTTCCTACTTTCTGTGTTTTCTAAGCAATGCCGTCACCACGAGTTCCATCTTTCTCTCGGCTAGCTCATCAGGGGAGCTGAAAGCAAAACAGTATTTGTTGGGGGAATTAAATGAGGTGCAGCACTATCAACAAAGACTTGCAGCATGTGAGCCTGATGTTGCCAAAATTGCTACACATCTGACTGAAATCAAAACAGTATTTTACTATGGCAAAATAACAGTTATTTTAGGCTTTAACTCAATCAACTGACTCAATTTGAATAACTGTGTTCACCGTTTCCTTCTGTTTAACAGTTTGCAACAGCAAGCGGAGCAGATGCACTCATCTTGCAGGAGTTATTGACTATGAAATATCACGCTCATAACACAGTCTGTCTTCTCAGCTTCCTCTTTCTTCTTTAAGCTGTATTTCCCAGCTGCCACCACATCCCCCAATAAGTGTTGCATATTTAAATGTTACATCACTAACTTTCTAAACAATGGACAAAGATTTCTTGAAATGGTTTCTTGCATTGTTAACACAATGATGTGGTTACGATTATGATGCATTGTGTGTATCTGAGGCTAGATCAGAGATAAGGGCATCCTACGTGTTATTTGCTGGCACATGACTCTGCCCACTTACTCTGCCATGTGACAACAGCATGCCATAGGATGAAATACAATACTGAGTATTGACCACATTCAAGTGCCTCTTACAAACACAGTGCCATGTGTCTGCCCAAACACCCTGAACTTACTAAACCCGTATTCAAGCCCAACAGATAGAGGTTTTTTTAGGCTTATATAAACATTTAGAGCACGGGTCTTCAACGTTTTAACCTGAAAAAGAAACAAATCAGGGGCCCTCTAGTTACTACATATGTATAAAATGTAGTTACATATTAAGCTGGGCCTACAATAATGTGTCGGGGGTGGCCAAAGAGACATTTATGAACATACATTTGATTCTCTAGATGGCACTCAGCTTGTGATGCTCAAAAGATCAATCTAAAAAAAATTAACAGCAAAATCTCTTTCCATAAATCATGAGCCGGCTACTCAAGATATTCTACAGACCTTGTTGTTAGCATTTCCTGGAGGAACTATTTTCTTTCCAGCTAATACCACCAACAATCATATCACCATGCAGAAAGTGTGCATCTACCCATGGACAACGGGCTCTCCTGATAATTAACGTTAAAGCTGAGCTGAGGTGGACGCGTACATCTCATCAGGATTGACAGTGAGTGACATTGCTGTTGAGTCTTTAATATGTATGTAAGCCAAGTGCCAGCCAGTTCCAAATCTCTATCACTCTGCAACTCACACTACAACTGTTTAAATAGCACTACAGGTTAGAGGAAATATATGTTTTTTTGATATATATTCCGTCCCTTTAACACTATTTATGTAAAATATTTATAATATGTTAAGTTAAAAAAGTGATTGCTAAAACAAAGTGAAGTAATTTGGTATCGGCTTCTGTAGACAATATGATTTTCAAGTCACGATTTTGTGGTGTGTGTACATGTGTGTGAGTTTAAAGGAAGTGATGATGTCATTACTAATGTGATTCATTAATGGGCCCGGAGGGGTTATCAGATGATCCCCTCCCCTGCTACCTTAATGGGTGTGTGGCTGTGTGTGTGCACGCAGACATGCAGGGAGACATCTCCTTTGCTCTGATTCCTGACACTTCTATCTTTCTATTTAGAGCGTGTAGATAAGATGTATAATATATGGGACTCACAGAAATGACTGTATGTTCTCCTGCTATCAGCTGTTGGTGCTTCAGCACTGACTTTGACATCTACTTATAATTTGACCTACAGTACATACTTATAAAAAGAAATGAGGAAACACATTTAAGTCTCTGTTTGTAGAGATAAATGCTTGTAACTGGTATCCACTGTCTCAGATCACTGACTCTGTACCCCTCACAGAAACTGATTACATCAAACAGCAACGGTGGGTCTTACTTTTTAAAACTAACAGTCTAAATGTGAAGCGATAATTGTGAAACATTTAGTGTATCTGCATGGGCTCAGTTTGCCAGCTTAATATTGACTGGAAGCCTCTTGACTGTCTGCTGAGCCAGGCGAGGCTGAACAGTCGAGGCCTTGCATGCTGCAGCATGCCTGCATGCACACATCAGCCTAGACAGAAGGGAAATTAAGTATCAACAGTAGTAGGCAAACGTGAGTGCTCACAAAGATCCCACTCTGAAAATAAAAACGGTTTGAATGTGTTCTGTGTTTGAATCGTATAAACTTTATCCCCGGTGTAAAAGGGCTGAGTTTTTTTACCTTTCAGCCCTCATGGGGGAGGAAAAAGAGTTGACGTGGTGAAAAGGAAAGCAACAAGGAAATGCTCCACAGTGGGAGCTTCATGGATTGACTGGAGAGGATGTGCGCGCTTAGCATTTTGGATGTGGACTGTTGGGAGTATCTTGCATTGTGAAATAATGAATACTTTAACCACCACACAGCATTGGTGTCATCTTCCCAATCAAATTCCAGTGTTGAGGCTGTGGTTTGCATTTGAGCTATGGTTACCCTCCTATACTGACAAGGGGTATTAAAGCAAAGAAAACACTGGTTGGGAGAACTTCATGACTCAACAGTTCATATGGGATGCTAAGTTGAGAAAATGCCTGGGTGACACATAATAGTGGGCAATGAGTCATGTCTTTGGCTGGTATAGAGGATGCATTTTCCATAATATGTGCATACGAAAAAATGAGTGTGAAAAAAAGCTTTAAACATATGTGGGTGTGTTTTTACATGTGTGCTATAATCTGTGTGCATCTATAGAAATGAACATGACCTGTTTTGTTTATGTGTTATTGTTTAAACCCATATGTGTGCAGTTGTGGTTTCACTGGAAGCAGTATCGGGTTTGGAGTGCCGGTTGGAAAAATATAACATCCCATTAGCGGCATGTTTCTTTCATTCATAATATATTGTGAAATGAAATATTAAAGGCTAAAGATGAGAACTCTTATGAAAAATAACCCGATTTATGATGACTCCAGATCTGCGTGAGGTCCACACCCATCCATCCCTTGCAGTCATTGTTTCCATTTCTTCGTCGGTTTAGAGAAAATCAAAAATCGATAAGAAAGCAGTTACAAAAACGTTTTCTTACCGTATTTAGGGTCCGGGTTTTTTTCCTCAGTCTCCATTCTCATACACTTCTCGGCTCCTCGGTGCTGATTAGACGTTTGACAGGACAGTTACCATTGAAATGTCGAGGAAAAAAACATCAATAACAGTAGAAGACCGCTACACAGAGACCATCCCAAACCAAACTGAAGCACACGGCGCATTCCCGGGTAACGGGAGGAGAGGCAGCCAATCAGAAAGCAGTGCCTTCTGACTGACAGCTGCTTCAACAAATCAGCGCGCGCCGGAGTGGAACAAAATCCGTTGGTTTTGCCGTTACTTAGTGGAATGTGTGGAGTGTGTAGATCAATCTGTTTAGAAGGGCATGCTTTTTTTTTGACATTCTTGTTTCGTTTTTAGTGTCTAAGAGAAAAAACACCCAATAAATAAAAGACCACAGCAGTCCTGAAAAGGATTATAGGACTATTACATTTACTAAGCTTGCTTCATGCCTGAATTATTTTTACCTTATCTCTACTCCACTGTAGCCTATTTGCTTTTGGCCTTTTTAGTTTCAGTTGCTGTGCCCCTTAAGGTTTTCCAATATAACCGTGATGTTTCATTGTATATACTACTCAGTAGTATTCAAAGTAGTCAAAATAGTTCCTGCAATAAACTTTAAAATGTTGTTCACAAGTAAACATTCTAATAATTCTGCATCACCAGTCCTATTTGTGTGATAGCCTATTTAGCTGATACTTCAGTATAAAAACTTAAATGGCTGTTTTTTAAAGGACCTTTTATAATTTGGTATTGTATACATTTACTTACCAGTAGGCTATGTATAGGAGTATATCTTCCAGAGCAGCACTCCGAGGAAACACTACTTTTTCTATATAACTCAAGAAATGCTTATCAATAACTACTTACATAAGATAAATTAATAGATAAGAAAACAGTTACCATCATGTGAAAACACTTTTATGAGAAGTTAAACTTGTCATAGCAGATAAATGACCTACACTCGGCTCTTGTAGACAAACTACAGCAAATCTGTGATGTAGTCTACAAAGATAATAATAATAACAATAATAATAATAATACATCAGACCTGTATAGCGCTTTTCAGGAAACTCAAAGACGCTTTGACAGAGAATAAAAAAAAAAATACAAAACCAGATAAACAAAACAGAAAATGGGGGGGGGTTCAGTGGTTGAATGCAGTGTTGAACAGGTGGGTTTTGAGTGATGTTTTGAATGCTGTGGGGGAGGAAGAATCTCTGATGGATTGGGGTAGTGAGTTCCAGAGGGTGGGAAGAAGAAGGCTCTGCCGCCCAAGGACTTGAGATACAACAACAAATACAGTCTCTAACTAACTACAACCATAAAAAAAGAAATTATCACATGTTTTATTCATGTGAAGGTGACAGGTGACCTGTCTGGCCACAAAAGTGTCATGTGTATGTGTGCCGGTAAAGTAATTAATAATTGAAAGGTACAACGTATTATCATGGGTCCTTAAGAAAATCACCATGAGTATATACAGTATTAAATAACAAACAAATAAAATGTGCCCAAAGTTCCTTTTCATTGTTATTTCATGTTAAAAGCCCACTTGATTTAGAGTATAGGCTGGGGATTTAACCACTAACCTTCCCATTGCTAACAAGCAGCTTGACATACTGTAATTAATACATTGACTGTTCCAATGGAAAACTATCCAGGCTTCTGTTCCGTGCCCAGCAGCCATGGTCCAGTACTGGCCCACACAGCCATGGTTCCGGCTCCAGAACCGGCCCCAGCAGCCATGGTTCTGGCTTCAGTACCGGCCCCTATAGCCATGGTCCCGACTCCAGTTTTGGCTCCAGTACTGGCTCACCAGCTCCCTGTGTCCTGTCGGCATACTGGCCGACTCCAGCCCCTCGTCTCCTGTTGGCTCTCCGGGCCGACGCCAGCTCCCCGTGTTCTGTCGGTGTACCGACCGTCTCAAGTCTCCTCTCAAGTCCCTTCTCGAGTCCCCTCTCGAGTCCCCTCTCGAGTCCCTTTCCAAGTCCCTTCTCAAGTCCCCTCTCAAGTCCCCTTTCCAAGTCCCCTCTCGAGTCCCCTCTCGAGACTCCTTTCGAGTCACCTCTCGAGTCCCCTCTCCAGTCCCATCTCGAGTCCCCTCTCCAGTCCCTTCTCTAGTCCCTTCTTTAGTCCCTACTCAAGTCACCTGCTCCGCCGGATTTCCTGCCAACACCAGATCCTGTCCTGTTGGGGGTCCCGCCAACACGTGCTACGCCGAGGGTCCTGCCGACACCAACCCGTGCTCCGTCCGGGGTCCCACTGACACCGGCCCATGTTCCGTCCAGGGTCCCATCTACGCCTGTCCCGCCAGGGGTCCCACCAGCTCCTGCTCTCGATCCCAGTGCTCCGGCAATCCAGCTGACACTGGAGGGGTCCCATTGCGGCGTACGTTGTCCTCCGGAGCTATCCCGTCACCGCCTTCATGCCCGTCCTCCGGAGCTGTCCTGTCGCCGCCTTCTTGCCCGACCTTGTGCCCGGCCTCCTGAGTTCCCCTGCGGCTTTCGCCCTCGAGCCCGGCCCCCTGAGTTCCCCTGCGGCTTTCGCCCTCGAGCCCGGCCCCCTGAGTTCCCCAGTCGCGTCCTTTGCCCTCGAGCCTGGCCCCCAGACTCTTCCAGCCGCTGCCTTCGCCCTCATGCCCGGCCCCCTGAGTTCGCCCGCTGTGGCCTTTGCCCCTTTTTGAACTCTGCCTTGCCCCCGGGCCGTCCGCCCGAGACCCCCA